ATTGGATATCAGTTTATAGTAAACAAATATATCTTAAAAACGAAGATAATCAGCTTTTATCATCTAAAACATATCTTAAACAGCCTGAAATTGTTGCTAGAGGGTTTAGAATTATTACTTACTTTGACAATAATTTCGTTCAAGCCTTGGGATTTGTTACTCCACTATTTGATCGGATTAATGCTGAAAATATAAATGAAATAGTAGTGGATTCTATATTTAAAACAAATCAGGAATGGTTTGAACTCTTTGTCGTAAATGCTAATTGTGGGGGTATGGTATGCCATTAGCGTATTTATATTTACTGGTATCAGATAATATTAAAGAAGTATGTTACTATCCAGAAGATGAAATTACTACTCGCGTACAGGTTCTTAAACAATTCTTTATCGGTCTTTGACAAGAGAGATTGCTACCTTCATTTGTGCTATTAGACAAAGATGCTGGTGAAATCTTGGCCGTTGGTGAAGCCTGGTCATGGAAAACAAATCTTCAATTATGCTATTGGTATTTAGAAAATGCTATTAGCAGACGTTTAAAGGATAAAAAACCACGATCAAATACTTATTCTAAACAAAAAGCATTAGAAGCTCATCAAAAATTTAATTTTATAGACTCATCGTGGATTTCAGCTAGTAATATTAAAAGTTTATGTTCAGAAGAATTGTTCAAAGAAATTATTAATATTATTAAATAGCATACAAATATGTATCCGTTAATTCCGGTAGATAAAGATGTTTTCTGGAATTCGACACAGATTTATTACTACTGCGTAGAGGAAGTTTATCATTTCTGCTACACTCATAATTGTTGTGAATTGTGGGGATACCTTTGGCTAAACTGGTATAATGGACATGATTGGGTATTGTTTGCTCGTTCCTCCTATTCTCGTGCAATGCCACTAGCCTGAACTACCATGATTACAGAAAGCCATTGGAGAGTACTCAAGTATAATTATAAATATAATTATAATAGACCTTGGCTTGACTGTCTTACTAATATTATTGTTGAACAACTGGTGCCAGATTTCGACCTTATGTTGGCCCAGTATAATATGAATCGTCATTTTCCATCTTGGTGGCAGGCCTTTAAAAAAGATTGGAATAAGGCTATGTTTACAGATATTATGCCTAATATAGATGAAAGGTATAATATTGATGTAAATAATTGGATATATTCTTGCCCTGCATATGTAAATAGCCGTTATCTTCTTTGCAAGCATTTAGTTGCAAAGAAAGAAAAAGATTTTTGGCCTACCTTTAGCAAAACAACAAGACGACATGATTATCCATTAATCGTCTTTGGTAATAATAAGCCTCCAGCAATTTTTCAAGAAAATAATCCATGGATAATGGCCGATATGGTTATTTCGGGGCAGAGTTCTGCTCTTGAGAATCCTGTTATAGAAGGTAGCCACTCAGAAAATTCAAGAAGTATATCTATGATAGTACGAGAAAATAAGATAAAAGAAAGGGAAGAAAAATACTCTCAATACATAAAGAAATTCAAAAAAGCATTAGAATTGTATAAAAGAGAAATAGATAATGATAATTTTGTAAAAAATTTTGACAAATTGGTATGTCTATTTGTAAAAGCAATTGATGAATGTGAAGAAGCCTTACAATCTCATACGCAGCAAGGCACCCAACGATTAAGTAATAAAAAGCTCACTTTTTGGTTACGTTAGTTAATAAGTAAAAAAAAAAAAAAAAATAGTTTAAACTTTGTTAAAATATTTTACAATTCGATATGTAACTAGTTTTATATACTTGTATAAAATTTTATTTATTAAAAATTTTTTATTAAAAGTTTTATAAATGTGAACAAGAGCCGTAATTATGAGGTAATGGGTAAACAAAAATTATATAAAAATATCATAATAAATTAAAAGCGACAACATAAGATGTAATAAGAGAATAGAGATATTTTTAACTTCCAAACTCGAATCTCTAATCTCTAACAAATAACAAACCTACAAAAAAGAGAAAAATTAGTAAAATCGAAAGGAAAGTAAAGCAAGAAAGCGTAAAAGAAACTGGTACTTATCTAAATAAGTTTCAGTTCCAGACCTAAATCTCTAATCCCAACGAAGAACGAACCTACAAAAAAGAAAAAAGAATTAGTGAAACGAAAGAAAAGTAAAAAAAGAAAGCGTAAAAGACACTAGTACTTATCTAAAAGAAGTTTCAGTTCCAGACCCGAATTTCTTATTCCTGGCAAAGAATGAACCTACAAAAAAAGAAAAGAATTAGTGAAATGAAAGAAAGTAAAACAAGAAAGCGTAAAAGTATCTAAATAAGTTTTACTTATAGACCCGAATCTCTAATTCCTAATGAAGAACGAACCTACAAAAAAGAAAAGAATTAGTAAAATGAAAGAAAAGTAAAGCAAGAAAGCGTAAAAGAAACTGGTACTTATCTAAAAGTTCCAGTTCCAAACCCAAATCTCTAATTCCTAACGAAGAACGAACCTACAAAAAAAGAAAAGAATTAGTAAAAGTAAAGCAAGAAAGCGTAAAAGAAACTGGTACTTATCTAAAAGTTCCAAACCCAAATCTCTAATTCCTAACAAAGAACGAACCTACAAAAAAAGAAAAGTAAAGCAAGAGAGTGTAAAAGAAACTGGTGCTTATCTAAATAAGTTCCGGTTTCAGACCCGAATCTCTAATTCCCAACGAAGAACGAACCTACAAAAAAAGAAAAGATTTAGTAAAATGAAAAGAAAATAAAGCAAGAAAGCGTAAAAGACACTGGTACTTATCTAAAAGTTCCAGTTCCAGACCTGAATCTCTAATTACTGACGAAGAACGAACCTACAAAAAAGAAAAAAGAATTAGTAAAATGAAAGAAAAGTAAAGCAAGAAAGCGTAAAAGAAACTGGTACTTATCTAAAATAAGTTCTAGATCTTAAATCTCTAATATTCAGTGAAGAACAAAAAAAAGAAAAGAATTAATGCAATGAAAGAAAAATAAAACAAGAAAGTGAAAAAGACACTAGTACTTATCTAAAGTTCCAGATCTAGATCTTGAATCTCCAATCTCAGGTAAAGAACAAACTATAAAAAAAGAAAAGAATTAATACAACGAAAGAAAAGTAAAACAAGAAAGCGAAAAAGATACTAGTACTTATCTAAAGTTCCAGATCTAGATCTTGAATCTCCAATATTCGGCGAACAAAAAAAAGAAAAAAATTAATGCAACAAAAGAAAAATAAAGCAAGAAAGCAAAAAAGACACTAGTACTTATCTAAATTTCCTGATTAAATCTTGAAACTCCAATCTTCGGCGAAGAACAAACCTACAAAAAAAAAGAAAAGAATTAATATAACTAAAGAAAAGTAAAACAAAAAATTGAAAAAAACACTAATACTTATCTAAAAAAAATTCAAAAAAGTTAAGTAAAAATAAAAAAAATATTATCGTTTTACAGTATTGTTAATAAATTGTCTTAGAAAAAAATTTATACTATATATTATTAATTATGATTGGCTAGATCATGCAGATCATCACATGGTTCAAGTAAAATCTCATTTTAGCAACACTTTTTTTTGATGCGACTAGGATACTAACAACCCAGGTAATGATCCTTTTAACAACCCAGTTAATGACCCTTTTAACAACCCAGTTAACGACCCAGTTAACGTACTAGTTAACGTACCTGTTAATATACCTGTTAACATACCAGTTAACATACCTGTTAACGTACTTGTTATTATACTAAAATTACTACTATTTGTTGAAAATTTGACTATTAAACTACAGCTAAAAATAAACATATAATAAATATAAATTATACTAATAAATTATACTAATAAAATCTTCTAAAATATACTAATAAAATCTACTAATATAACACTGTGTTTTTGCATGAAATAAAGTTATTCTATATACTGTTACTATTTCAAACCGTTTGCCTCCTGCTGTATAGTTAAGTGAACAACTACACATCCACCCCATGTATATTTGCAAAAGTCAATCACTACACTAGGTGACCTTGTTACTTGGTTGTATTTTACTACTGTAAGAAGGCTACAACCCTGTAACACTATTAAAGGTGCAATCTGCATAATCCATTTTTGATAATACAGTATACTTGACTGTAATTAAGAATAGGCAATTACTATATACAGTAATATTGTATATATAATAAAAATCTATATAATTAGTATAGTATTTAGGGATCAAATATAGTATAGGTTACCCCTTATAAAAAACTATTTAACTTACTAATTTTATATAGTTATTTTATTATATTTATATTATAATTGATATTTTAATCCATATTAAAAAGCTAATTTAAAAGATTATATTATAAAAAATAGTAATTAATTTAAAAATTTTTAAATATTTTATTAAGAAGCAAGCTATACTATATTTGATCCGTATTTAGTGTAACAAATTTAATCAATAGAAATCTAGATGTAATTTTTCATAAGAATAAATAAGCATATGACAAATCTATATACTTTTTAAATATTATATATAAAGTTATTATACAGTAATTATACAGTAAAATTACCTGATATTTATACCAAATTTATTATATCATCCCTAGTTATCATGTCATGCAATAGTAAATTTGTCATAATTGGTCATAAGGCCACACCAATTTAAAACTATGTTTAACATCCTCTTTGAGCCTCAGATATAGGGGGTAATTAACACTATTTAATATAAAAATCATATTAACTGTTCAAAAAAAAATTTTTTTAGCCAATCAAAATCTTACGTTTTTTTACCCCCCCTTCTGTTTTCATTTTATTAATGTTATGTTAAACATAGAATCAAATTGAAATGGCCTAACCTATAGTTAACCAATAGGTCATAGACCCAGGTCTTACGTAATCATGGGTGGCAGTGCTAAACGGCGTTGCATAATGAACTTAGCCAATTAAATTTTTCGACCGACCAATCCGATGAAATTTTATTAGCTTAGTCGGCTTAGCTGAAAAATTTAATGGCCCAAGTAAACTTTTTTTTTTATATTCATAATTCGTAACACAATATCAATTCAAAGTTAATTACGAATCGTTAGCTATTAATATTTGGCTTTAAGGAAGAAAAGATTAATTTTAAATAAGCATCAATATACTCCCCCTTAGTTCGCAAGTTACTGAGAGACATGTGAAAGGAGTGTGGCGATAGAGCTAGCTTTCACTACAAGGCAAGCGATAGCGAAACAAAGAACTTTACTTATAAAATCGACTAGCCGATTTTAGAAAACATCGACCAACCGGGTCAAGAAATAGGCTATCTGATTTTTTTTAATTTCATTAGTACCGCATGTGGAAATTGATCGGCTTTAAAAAGATCGTGGAATGCTGATTCGAATCCGGCCTTCAGTTCGGATCTGCAGAATACTAATTAAGGTTGATTTTAAGAGACTTTTAAGTAGGGATTTTCAGAAGAAGCGTAATTGTAAAATTACATTTTCGTTATTTTTTAATCGTTTCCTTTTTAAATTAAGGTTTTGTAAGCAAGGTCATATTTCTGGATATCAGTACAACACAGAGATAATATGAGATAATATGACACATCAAAAAGGCTGTTTTTAGAACTTCTGTGCCATAATTTTACGATCTTAGATAAGATTTAAACACAGAGTTCCGTTTATATCATTAGTTGATTGACAATAGATTAACGCGGATCAGTTCGGTAAAACGGATATTTTCGGAGCACAATATCAAAGTAAAATCGTGATGGCAATTTATCTACGTACGTACGTACGTACGCACGCACGCACGCACGTACGTACGCACGCACGCACGCACGTACCTTTCGTTCGGGAATCATAAGATTTGCGGAAATGACGCTGAAATTAATTAATTGAGGTTAGGGAATAAAAATTGATCAACCAATAAGATATTTAATGTCGGCACAGACACGCATATATATATATATATATCATGATCATTTTAAAAATACAACATTCTTGTCGTTATTTTTATTTTCAATATAAAATTATGAATTTTTTCTTTTTCTTTTTTTTAAAAAAATTTTTTTCTCATTAGACAATTCACAATACACCCACTACAGCTTTGTGATTTCTATCAATCCCTATACCTCTTAAAATGAAGGAATACAATAATGAACAATGCGTGAGTTTAATAAAAATAGATAAAAAAAACAATTTATAAACGGTAAACAATTGTCCTTTTTTTTTTTTAAACCAAAAAAAGCGATGTATATTACGTTCTCCTCTTATTCTAAACAAGTGATAATTATAAAATGTTCTTTTATTATTATTAGTATTATTATGATGGGAGATGTAACTTATCGGGTAATTTTTTTCCATCTTGTTTGGTGATAAACCATTTGAAATACTCGTACATTGACCAACAAACAGCTGTTGAAGGCATATGTGATAATACTCTAGGTTTCAGCCCTCTCACAAAGCCCCGAATGCCATTCCGTTCATAAATTAATTGAAATGCCTCTAGTAAACCACTGCAGTTCCGTACGCGATGGTCTGATGAATTCCCTCTTGTTTGCAATAAGGTTTTGGCGACGTCTAAGGGTGTTGTTGCCGCTGCTGCGATTGCACCGGCAAGTCCACCGGCTATCATGTGTGTTTTTGGATCGTAAGAACCGTTAGGGTTCAACACCTTACGAAAATATTCATATGAACTAAACTGAAATATCTGAAATGGAATGGTCATCGTTAGTGTCGTAGGATACGATACGTAAAAAGCTATCAAGCCTTCTCTTGCATATACTGAGCGAGCGCAGGCCAAAACATTTTTGTGTGTAGATCCATGAACTTGCATTCGCTGTTTGATAACTATTAAGAAATTAGTGAAGAATTTCGTTAAAATGATATCATTATGAAAATGATAAAATGTGAAATTATATGTTCTAATGAAAAACCATACCATCAAACGGATTCATCAATGCATCACTCGCTATTGTCGCACATGCACCTGCAGCTCCTAAAAAATACCGTTATTTAGCATTTAATGATAATATTACTAATGAAAATCATATATTAATATTATTATTTGATAGTACCATGAGCAACCGGGTGATGTCCTTCTCCTATGTTTGCTCCGAATAGGTCTTTACATACTTCGTATGTTCCAAAATACAAGGCGTGTGCTGGCCCCGCACCCAATACAACAGAGTTAACACCACGCCATAAAGTACGAACACCTTCTGTTGTATAAATGCGAGAAAACGCATTCGCAACACCTGTGTAGACTGCTTGTGGAGTTGGATTTATAATTTGCATGCGAGTCTATTAATTTCGAAAAAATAGATATATTAAAAATATTTTATAAAATATAATATCAAAATTTAAAACCAACCTTTATACTATCCACTGGATACATTATTGTATGTTCGCCAATACCAGCTAATGCACCAGCGATTAGATTAGCAGTCAAAGAAGAATTTGCCGGTAAAGATTCGTAATCATGATCCTGTTCCAATATTTCAGTCATTTCAAAGGAGAGTACATTCATATGATATAAGGTTTATAAAGAAAAATATTTTGTTCTATAGAATACGTGCGTAATAAAGAGATTTCAAACATATGATAAAAGTGTTCGTAAATTTCATCTGATAAATAAATGATAGATAACATGCCTTTAATAGATGATGAGCCAACATTGTTTTTATCAATACTCCCTGCACAACTTTCTAATCTACATTTTGTGTCACTCCAGTTGATCCGATATTGTAATCTATGCTCGGTACCTCCTGGTTACCGAAACAAAATTTGAAAATCCTCTACAAATAAAGCAATAGGTATCTTTCCAATGTTAGAGATTGGTTTCCGGTTCATTTTGTTTGACCAGTAAGTAGTTGTATTAGTTATGGCGCCGTTTGATTATTTAAGAGCGATCGAGACACTTCACGAATTGCGTAAAAGTGGGGAACGAAAATCGGATTTAGTTGTTTCACTAGGTGAAAGATTGATACGCGAGTACACTAGAAAACTTGGTGATGAAAGTATGTGGTAAATAAATTAGATTTTTATTGTTTTTTTTATATAATTAAACCTATATTTATAACATTTAAATAATAAATAGTTTGGCCTATATATGAACAAGTTTTCATCTCTGCACTTGATCAGGGAAATGACGCATTAGCAAAGGTAAAAAGTGTTTAACGACATGTGTTATTGAAATATTTGTTTTTATTGCTACAAATGCAATTAATTTAAATTAATTAAATTAATTAAATTATGTTGCACCTTTGATCGATAAAAGGCGTGTCTTGAAAAACTTGAAAAACGATTTCCTGGATCGCCTCGGGTTAAAATATTGGAAGGAATGAAATTAGAAGCAGAAGATAAATTAGATGAAGCATTGCAACTTTATGATGAAATTTTGGAAAAGGATGATTCAAATATCGTAGGCCTTTTCTTTTAGTCATTTTAAATGTTGCAAGATAGAATATACTAGGTTTAAATTTTGTGTCTTGCATGAATACGAATAATTTACACAGGCAGCTTCGAAACGTCGGGTTGCCGTGTTTAAAGCAAAAGGACTGGATCAACAAGCAATGGAAGCTTTAACGAAATATCTTGATGATTTTTACAACGACACTGAAGGTTGGCTGGAACTGTCAGACCTATATTTAAGATTTCATATGTAAGTCATTCGTTTTCACTTGAATTTTTTTTTCTTTCCTTTAACAAAGATTAACATTCATTCGTTCTTTATCAAAATAGGTATCAGCAAGCGGCATTTTGTCTTGAAGAACTTATTTTACTTCAGCCACAAAACCATTTTTATCATTTAAAATATGCTGAAATATTGTACACAAGTGATACAAGCGATAATATTAATTTGGCTTTAAAAGAATTTTGTCGTGTTGTCGAATTATGCGAGGATCATGTTAGAGCTCTCTATGGAATTAAACTGGTAATTGCTATTTTAACAATATTATAATTGTTATATTATTTCTAACTTTTATTGTATATGTTTAGTGCACAGCTCGTATTTTAAGTCTTCCAATAAACAATCCGAAAACAATTTCCGAGTTAAGTGACTTAGCTGTCGAACGCCTTAAAAAAATTTATTCTGTAAATAATAATAGTGTTAAAGATGGTTTAAATGAAATTAGACAAGTTATCCGTGAATGGTTTGAACAAAAACAATAAAAATGTAATAAAAACGTATTAATTAATAGTATTCACATGACCTGATATAATTATGATCATGTGTGGAGATAATTATTCGGTATAAATCATTGAAAAAAAAAAAAAAAAAAAAAAAAAGTCTATCGAAGCAGCCTTTAGTCACCGCTGTCTTTTGGTTATAAAACGAGAATACGAAACCATGAGTTATGTCGCTAAAGGCAAAGAAGAATATGCCGATGAACAACCTAAAGTATTTCACTTGTTTTAATCTCCAGAAATATATTTTGCCTTCATTTTTAAAATTCAATAAACAATAATAGGTTCATCGCATTCGAATCACTTTAACATCACGAAATGTTAAAGCTTTGGAAAAAGTTTGTTCAGATTTAATTGGTCGTGCAAAAGAAAAGAATTTGCGAGTTAAAGGACCTGTGCGTTTACCTACTAAAGTTTTGAGAATTACTACACGTAAATCACCTTGTGGTGAGGGTAGTAAAACTTGGGATAGATACGAGATGAGAATTCATAAAAGATTGATCGACTTGCATTCTCCTAGTGAAATTGTAAAACAAATTGTATGTGTGCTTCCAATATTTTTAATCTTGAAAATTATTATCAATTAATCTTTAATTTTTGAAATTATTAAATCATCTGCAGACTTCGATTTCTATTGAACCTGGTGTTGAAGTTGAAGTTACTATCGCTTCTTAATTTGTAAAATTTCCTATCCTATTAGAAAAAGTTTATAGCGTTGTTATGAAGTAATTGATTAAAGATCGTGTAAAAATAAAAGTCAATAAAATTTTATGAAATTCTAGTTGTGATATATATATAAATTAAATGTTCAATTTCAATGTTTATTCTGTTTTTTTACTTGCGGCATCATATACATTTTGTATGAATATAGCAAGTTTGGCTTAAAACCGATCTGGTGAATATTAACTTTCCTAATTCAGGACAAATTCTTTGAAAAGATAAACTAAAGCTTCGCAAATAGGTTGAATGAACAACTCTTATGAGCAAAGCAACATAATCGCACTTTTTTATTTCTTTTTAAGAAAAAAAATTTTTTTGAAGACTAATACATCTATATCAATCATTAGGCGAAAAAAAAAAAATTTGTCATCAATTCTACAACTAAAGAAAAAAAAATCCTATATAGAACATTTCTTTTAAGATGACATTTTTACATCAGAAGCAAAATAAATCTCAAGTATCAATTAAATGTTTTAAGGTATAATTATATAACTGATCTCCCTCCTCCATTCAAATGTTCAAATCTTTACTAAATAGTAATAATATATACTTTTAAATGTATATCAATAAAATATCGATAACAAACGATATTAAAGATAAATACGAATAAATTCATCTAAAAAAAAAAACAATTATATATACATTGAAAGCTGTGTTAGTAGCATCCTATAAAAAAGGGACGTAAAAAAATACAAATAAATCAAATGCAATGGTAATCTGTCTGCTGGAAAAAATAATGTAATAAAGTTACATAGGAATAAGCATACAAAAAGTATGTAAGAAGAAATACAAGGTATATATATGCATATATAATACAAAAGGATTTTTGGATACCAATTTGTGTGGTATCAATATTTTGTTTACAACTTTACGTAGGAGCTCCTACAAATGCTCGCGCAAGACGTTCAACAGATAGAACGTGGAACGGAAGACATGCATGAGTTTGGGTCACTTCCATAAACGTAAGGATATGAAATTGTTTCAGGATATCCCATAAAACCTGTGTGTACTTATCGGGTTTAGATGAATGAAGTAGATTAACCTTTAAAAAAAAAAAAAAAACTTTCTTAGAGATGGTAAAAGAAAAAAAAAGATGACACAAACAATATAAAAGTAAGTTTACCTGGATGGCACTGGATACTATATCAGCAGTGTCCATTTCTAGTAAATACCCGGTTGCCACCGGTAGAAAGTCTTGTAACGGTATTGGATGATTTAAAACCATGCCACATACCTTTAATTTTTGATGTTTATTTTCCAAAATAGGATTAATGGTTAAGGCCGGTTCAATATCAATCGATACAATAGTAACATCGCCTCCAGTTATTTGTAGCCATACTGATGTAAAAATGGATGTATAAATTGGTTGATATAGTAAATAAACAAATGAATAAAAATTATTATAACGACGTACGATCTTTTTCTTCTTTAGTAATCACTCCGACCTTGGTGATAATTGTTTGTCGATAGTCTCCCATGGTTTTTCGAATTTTATCCCAAGCTGAACTGAACAACTGTTTGGTTGTTGTTAATGGCACTGTCGTGGAAAATGATTCACAACCTAAGTGCTTTCCCTGCATATCCACCCATACAAAAAACATTCTGCGTTTATCAAAACTATATCCATACGAAATCTGAAGGATAGTATCATATGTGACAAGTTCTTCAAGAGGTAGTGGATCTTTAGTTAATTTAAAGTTTACAGACACCACGGATGGCTTGGGTAAAACGAATGGCGCTTTATATGTCTTATAGAAATTAAACGTCAATAAAAATCTTAGAAAAAACAACTATTTGTTCAACAAATTTACCTGAGATCTGGTATAAACAGAAAATGCTAGCTCCTTAAGTACAGGTTTTAGCCGAAAAGACGAGCTGGTTGTTTTACCGAATCGAATAATATGATCAATTGGCACAATTTGTGGAAATATAAGATGTAAATTTTTCTTATTGCTTTCTTTAAAACATGATTTAATTTTTGAAAAACTCATTAAAATATCAAAATTTGACGACAAATGGTTCCATGGATTAACTAAATATATCACAAGGTTATGGTCTTCATATTGCTTTGCAAATTGTACCAGTGACTTTCCTGAAATTGTAAATATATTAAGAATTTTTTCAAAAATGATTTAAAAATAAAAAGTCAACGCTACCTAATTGTTCACAAGCCAACTCATAACTTCGGATTTGTTGTGATAATTCTGACTCGTTTGGTAAAAGTGCTAAATCGGGCAAATAATTTGATATTAGGATAAACTCTTGATTTGAGATTACCATTAGACATAAAAACTAACTTACGCTCTAAAGAAATCGGTATAAGACCATTGTTAATTTTTTTATTCATCGACACGGAAGCAGATTCATGGGAACCTAATGCACAAAGGTGCTAGATGGCAAAAAAGAGATAAATATATTACTAAGCATTGAACCCTAAATCCTAAAATTTAATATACACCACAAATGATACATACTTCGTATTGGACTCGTAATTCATCAAAAAAATATTCGATGTAATAGCGAAGATTCTCTGATTCAGGAAACATCACAAGATACTTGACATTCTTAGCTCCATCATAGGGAGTAAGCTTATGAGTATCCCAAAACTTCAAAATTTCAGGAGAAGTCTCGATTAAATAGTCATTTGAGCTAGTAATAACGTCAGGAGTAGAGAATTCTCGAAAATTCGATTCTGTATCTTCATTATTTTGCATTTTTGAGTCGGATTCGTGACATTCTAAAGGTTGTAACATATGTGAGCACCTAAGTTTAAATCTTAACCAATGATAATAATAAGTGTGAAAACGTTACCATCAAAATTATGGTATTCTCGAACTGTTAATGGTCCTTTCACAGATAATTGCAAACCATCCGGTTTTCGCATGCTATTGGACATATCAATTATTGCTTTTTTAATTTCAGTAATGACTTTATCTACCTCGAACGGAAGTGCAGACGCAGTAGGTAACTCTAAATATCACACACATATATCAAATATGAATTTATGTTAAAACAGCCCGAATAATTCCACCAACAGGTGGTTCACCAAATGTCCATTTCATCGACAGTTCATCTCAATGACAAAGATCAGTTCACCGGAAACCACTTCACAGACAATTTTTCCTATTACATACCATATTCTAGCATAAAAAAGAACTATACTATAACTCACCCTGACCTTAACTTTTGAAGGTCACTAAACTATGCATCAACTTTAATGGGACATCGGTTCTTATTATTAATGTTTGTTGATGAAGTGATTGTCGGTGAACAAATCAAGCCAGTGAACTAACCGTCGATTAAACAAGATGTTGACGATGTGATTGTCAAATAAAGAATTTCTTTTCTGTTAATTTATTTCTTTTTTACCTCTACTTAAATTTCCGACAAGACACCTGTGAGATTCTAGTAGCTCGTGTGTACTTTCCCCTTCTCCATGAATACCAACTCCAAAAGGGTAGGAACCAAACACAACTTGCTCACAAAGATATGTAAGAGCAAGATTTGTTATGTCACCTCTCGATTCAGATTCATTTACCGTACGAAGCATTCGGCAACCAGAAGGACCATAAAAATCAATTATCATTGATAAACGTCCCGCATTTATAAATTCCAATTTTCGAGAATTCATTATGGGTGCGCTAATTTGTTTGGTGCTTCCATCATAATCTGAGTCACTATCACTATTAGAGTCATTATCACAATCAGAGTCACTACCATAACTAGAGTCACAGCTTTCTGTAGAACTTCCAGAGCCAGAACATTCATTATCTTCTTCATTTGTAGTATTTGTAGGAATTTTACACAAAGTCTTTTGCCTTTTAGGCTCGGATTT